GAGCTACCTCGGTGGACAAAAGAGGGCGGCCGGAAATCCGCCAGAAAGCATACCTCCTTCGGCCACCACCCCCGGAATTCGAAAGGTGGCTTCCAGAGATGCACCCGTCGCCCGAGAGATACCCAAAGCCACCCTCCGGGATACCGGAGAGGGATCGGGACATCCCCAGGCAATCCAGATTCCACGGCAAACTACGCCACCGCCAAGAATCTCAACGGAATGGGATGGACCCCGGTACCCTTTCCCCTACCTAGGAACTAGCATGCCTGTGGAAAAAAAAAAAAAAAAAAAAAAAAAAAGGCCAAAAAGGAAGGGCAAAAGGGTGGGGGGGAGGAGGAGGAGGAAAGGAAAAAGGGGAGGATGGAATAGGGGAGGGGAGATTGGGGGGTAATTAGGTTCGGTCTGAGGAAGAAGACCGACAGGTCTAATTCCTCAGACCAAGAGCCTCTTCACGCCAAGGAGCCCCCCCTTGAAGAGGAATGTAGTGTATAGATCACTTATCTATTCTTATTTTGCAGTAGACGAGTAGATGGAACCCTGGACCACCCAAAGGAGAAGGGCAGGTTGAGCTGGAGCTGGAGGTATCAGGATTCCCTAGTGTGTGTGTGTATTTAGGGGAGTAGTCACATCAAGGGCCATGCCTAGGTAAGGTATGCTACGTTTTTTAGGTGTTGGCTGGAATGCCTCGCCTCTGTTTTATGTTGATATAGGGACTGTTGGACCTAACGTTTTAGTGAATGTGGGGCTGGCGGTGATGCCCTCCACTGTTTGGGTCATGTCTTTTGATCCGAGGTGTTTTGGTTCTCCAGGACTTTTTCAATTTTTCCTTTTTGGATCACCGCTGGGGTGACTCCAGGGTCCTTGGAATGACATGTAGGTGACGGCCTGGGAGGTCCACCTTTTGGGGGTCTTCAGTGATGACTCCAGGGTTTTACGGCCGCAGTCCCACCAACAAGATTAATGTGCCTATCCACCCGTTGTTTTTGGGGGCCTGATATTTTCCCCTCTCCTGTGCTCTCCTGATTCTCGCAGAGGTCTGTCATGGGGAACCAGTTTTGTTTACTAAAGATTGCTGTGAGATGGGAGTGATAATGTGATGTTTTCTAAGTAGAATTTAACATGTAACATCTGTTTTTTCTTTTCTTTGAACTCCTGAAAAATGTACTTACTGTTTAAAAGTTTTTTTTGGTGGCACCTACAGTTTGGTCTGCCTTGCAACATACTGAACTTTGGTGTTACTTCATAAAACGGCATTCCTCAGGGGCACTTTTGTACAAAGTTAACTTGCTCGTTTATAAGTTTGCTTAATGTAATTTAGGTAAAATGTATCAACGCCAGCGCCTGGCCAGCACTGTGTTGTAATGGTGCCTTTTCCTAAAATAGCTGTCTAAGAGTGTGACTGTGAGCTTGTTGGGCATAGAACTTGATCACTTATGTTCGGCGAGTTTCATATGTCTGCAATCTAGTACCTCAGTTTGTTAATATTGCATATTTGTAGTACCAAAAGACCATGATTGTATGGTGGTCATTCCCCAGTTATCATTTTGCCCATTGCCTCAGACCTTAATGTGGGGCTTATCTTCTTTTTTTATTTTCTTTTTGCCTAGCGGTGTCCATAGGGACCCCGCTAGCAGAGTGAGACCTATGGTCTGGGGGTGGGGGTGTTATGCAGGGTTCTGCATGACATCGTAATGTATATATAGTGGAGAAGTGTGCCATAATAGTATGAATATTATAATTGTAAAGAATAATTTTATAATTATAATGTGCATTTGGGGGTACTGTAAAGTACTCTAACTGTAATTATAAAGAAATTCTGTTAATGATTTATTTTCCAAGGATGTTTGGGTACGCAGAGTAAGCATGGGTTGGGGGAGTCACATGACGTTAGCATGGTGTGTAGAGGCTGGCGTCGGAGATGCTGTGTATTTAAGATAAGTTTGTAGTTGTGCACTCATTTTATCTAACTCAAGCCATAGGCTCTCATATGGCTTACCTGTATGTTCACCCAGGCTCTGACATGGTCAGGGTGCTGTGGGAGGAGTGAGGAAATAAGAAATGAGGTTGGGAGTGGAGTCGAGTGGGCCTGGCGCTTACTAGGCATAGTGGTTATGGTGGCTGGACCTCAAGCCAGCTGTTGCTTGTGCACCCTCATTTGGGCATTTAGGATTAAGGTGTTTCTGTTATGTTATGTTATGGTGACTAAATAGATATATTTTCCTAATTGGGATTTTTTGCCTAACCCTCTGCTACCCAACCCCTTTAAGTACACATACTAGTTTAGCACTTTCTGTTTTGACTGGGATAGCCCTGGGTGGCCGGTTTGGGCTTGAGATGTGTGTAACTTTTACCTTTGCCCTTAGACCAGGCTCAAGCCCCTAGCTATCCCACATTTTTGCGTAACACCTGGTCATTTGTTTCAAGTCACTAATCAATCAAAGCCATAGAATTCTTCTTCATTTCCACTTCCATCAGAGTCGAGACTATCAGTTACGAAGAGGAGAGTACCAATTCACCTTGCGGCGAGGCATGGTGAACAAAGGTCACTGAGGCGGCGGTCCCACAATGCCATGTGGGCACCTACAATTTTTGTTTACGGCGCGCGCACAGAACCGTTCTCTCAGATGTAGGCCTACCAGCCTTCTCAAGCTAAATCTTACTCATTCGATAGAATTTTGGTGTAGATCTACTGTTTGGACCCTGAAAGGGTTAAGGACATATATGGAATGTGGAATAAGTGGCAAAATTTTGTGGAAAAATACCACCCTGAGCAAGCTGAAACAAGCCATCTCTGCAACATGTTCAGTGACAAAACAATGTCCCATTTTAGGCAAATTTTAAAGAGACTCCAGAAACAGAGCACTCTTAAAAGTTATTTTGTGCGACAGGGGTCCAGTGACTCAAGCTGGTTCTAGTGGCATAAAAGACAAAGAAGGGAAGTAACCCCAGATAAAGACTTGTTACCTAAAGTCTTAATGGAAGGGGATTCCCCTTCCAAACAATAAGTTCTCCCTCTCTCTCCTCTTCCCTGTCTTCCAGATGCCAGCAAGACTTCAATAAAGGTACATAAATATGATTTTGAATGTTTATTTATGTATTGTATTACTCATTTAAGTACTGTATGCAAGTTAAAATATAATCCTTAAAAAATGTATATTGTTGTGAATATTTTTGTGGGTCTGGAATGGATTAATTGTACTATTTACATTATTTCTTATGGGAAATACTGCTTCGACTTTAGGCCGTTTCAAGTTTAGGCCTAACTCCTGGAACGGATTACGGCCGAAACTCGGTTCCACTGTAGTAGGTTCACTGGTTTAGTCCCGGCCCAGGTCCTTTCCACCCTGATGAGTACCGAGTGTCTTTCTACTCTCAGAGCCCGGCCATGGGCAGCTACTGAATGAGTGACAATGAATGACTTGCCTTTTTCTTTAGGTCACCCTACCTTGGTCAGAGACTGACATTGTGTTAAAAAATAATAATGTACCAGGAAAGGGGCACAGTTTTGTAATACTAAACACAGCTGACCACCAGTTAACATGAGAGTTACATTCATTAAAATGGTGTGTAATCAAAAAATTATGTAAAATGAACTTACGAACATATGGGAAACATAGGGTTTGTAAAAGAAAAAGTTGCAACTGTATGGGAGATGTAGTTGGGGTTAGAGTGGTTGGGGTATGGGGATTAGGGTTTACACAGGAGGGTCAGAGCAGCTGGGGTGAGAAGAGGTTCACTGCGAGGACTGCTGGTTTGAGGGTGGGGATCAAATGATGGAGGACTGGGGACGGGAGCTGTAGGCTGGTGTTCAGAGGTGGAGGGTGCTGGAGATTTGAGAGGTGTGAACAGGAAAAAGCTGGAAGCAACGAGGCAGTGTGATGGTGGGAGGGTGATGGGGATTAGGCATGATGGGTAACTGGAGGCTTCCAGGGTTGAGTGTGCAGTTGATGGTGCAAGTAATAATGAGGAAGGTAAGTGGTTACATGACTAGGTGTGAGAGCTGTGAAAGCATGAGTGAAGTGTGGACATGGGAGTGGGGTTATGTGGGCTTGAATCTGTGGGTGAGTAGTGTGGGTGAAAGGTGAGGGTGTGCCAATGCCTGGTGTATATGGCAGAGTGGATGATGGGTAACTGGTTGGAAGGTGGTGTGGTTAGTAATAAGTGGTAACTAAATGATTAGAGACTGGTTAGCATGTTAAGAGAAACACTGAGCAAAATGTGGGCATGAGGTTGTGGGGAAATGGTGTGGGTGAGGTTGTTGGGGTGGACAAGGTGTGGTCTCGAGGTAGTAGGAAAATGTGACCATAGGGGAATGGTGTAGGTGTAGCCATGGGAGAATTCTTTGGTGGGTTGTGCCAATGGAGGATTCTGGTTGGGATGGTGTAGGTGAAGGCATGTGGCCATGGGGGAGTTGGTGGGTGGAAGTTATCACTTGCATGACAGGAGACAGGAGGCGTAAAGCAGTATGACGAAGGCATGTGGCCGAGGTATAATTTTGGATGTGTACATGGAGAGCACTGTGGAGAGGGTGATTGTGTACATTAAGGCATCCCCAATAAGACAATGGGCATGCCTGTATAATCACCACATGACAGAGGAAAGAACCTGGCTTGTGCCACACTTTTCCCCTACATTAACTCGGTCATATATGCCACAATTTATTAACCGTGTTAATATAAAAAAAAAAAAAAGATGCATATTAACCAATGATCTACTGAACAACTAGGCACTAAATACCAACCTTAAACAGCTACAGAAGACTTGAATGTAATAACATACCTAAATTTAAGGCCAAAGCTAAGGGGTATCTAAATCACGAAGCTGAAGGAAGCAAAGTGACCTTTTATATTTGCATCAAGTAACTCACCTGTGACAGATAATGTATTAGCTGTAATTATGGCTGATGATATTTGTTCAATTAAAGACAGCCAACATATGCATGTGCCTCAGAAAGATGCAAAACAAAAGGAACTTCAATGAAAATAAATCAAACTATGATAAACATTTAAAACATCAATTTGTAAAAAATAACATTTAAAATTAATCTGAATAAGCAATACAACTTCAACACAATATGAGTCGCATTAATCCTCTTAAACTGCAATTATTAACAACATAAAACGATACTTATACAAGTAATTTTTCTTAGCCTTAATGTAATAGTGAATGTTCTCCAGCTTGTATGAAAACCATTATATTTACCCTGAGGTGATCCTCTGAGCTGAACTCTGACATAACCAACATTTCCAGAGTTGAGCCTCTTAAGTAGACTGAAGTTGTTGGTGCTGTGCTGTGTATGGTCCAACAGGATTGTTAGCAGAACCAGCAGGAGGTCCAGCAGGAGGTCCAACAGAAGGTCCCTCAGGATTGTTAGCAGGACCAGCAAGAGGCCCAACAGAAGGTCTCACAGGATTGTTAGCAGGACCAGCAAAAGGCCCAATATGTCAGGCATGAGTGCCACAGAAGACACAACAGCCTCTTCTGCAATCTCATCACCTTCAGGTGCCAGAGTTGTGTGATACTGAACAAGAGTGAAGTTATCATTGGTATCACTGAAACCAATTGTGGGATAAATGGTGACAAAAAGGTGCCAGGGGCACCAGGAGGGAAGAAGTGCCAGGGGCACCTGGAGGGAAGAAGTACCTGGGGCAAGCCTTCCTGAGTGTGCATTCCCTGGAGTACTATTGCTCTACTCCTGGCATACACTCAGAGAAAACAAACTACTATCACCATTGATATGTCCCTCCAACCTTCCAAGTCATCACTACCAGGATGTCTTGTAGTTCCTGGTGAATCGGGGGGAGGGGGGAATGTTGTGTTTCACGCCCACAGGAGTCTCAGAAGGTACCACATGATGCCTAGGAAGGACACTCAACTTCTTGTTCCTCATAGGACCACCCATGCATTCTGACTTGGATGTTTCTGCCAGAAAAGCATTGACAGTATTTACGTCAGGGGTGTTTCTTGCCAAGGTGCAGCCCTCCATGGCATCTGCCCAGGTGAAAGAACAAGTGTACAGTTTTTAATTTTTTAATTTTAAGTTTTGACAATAAAAAAGAGCTTCTAAAGTCTAATCTCTGAATTATGCAGCATCTTATATGTTCAATAAATGTCACTGGTAATTTTAGCTATCAAATAATGTTCAATATTATTTCTGTCAAGCAGTGTCTTACCTGCCATTACATGAAGGTTAAAGAGGACTTGAGAGGCTACTGGTACAAGTGCTAAGGTAACGACCATCATCATACACACTGCCATGGATGAACCTCATACTGATATTCACCTGAATGATACACATCAGAATCAGAAAGTCACATCTTCACTACACCTGTTATTTACATTTACTGTAGATTTTTCCACTGGTGGCTAGTTCATTGTGCACCATTTATCCATTTGATGAAGATTAAAAAGGCACAACACAGTGGAACCTTGGTTGTCAAATTTAATTCATTCCAAGTGTCAATTCAACAACCAAAACAGACAACCACCAAAGAAATTTTTCCCATAAAGAATAATGTAAAAAGAATTAATCCATTCCAGACCCCAAATTACAATATAACAATTTATTAATAATAATGTACTACTTCATAAAACAATATGTAAAATTATACAGCAAACAGAAGCTGTAAAAAGGAATACTAAATGAAAATTTAACTGCCTCTTAACCCTTTGACTGTCGAGACCCCAAAGCCTGAAGCGTCTCTCTCTCTGTCTTGCAAAATATTAACCCTTTGACTGTCGCGGCCGTATATATAGGTCTTACGAGGTACCGTGTTTGACGTATATATACTCAAATTCTAGCGGCTTCAAATCAAGCAGGAGAAAGCTGGTAGGCCCACATGTGAGAGAATGGGTCTGTGTGGTCAGTGTGCACCATATAAAAAAAATCCTGAAGCACGCAGTGCATAATGAGAAAAAAATAACTCCGACCGTTTTTTTTAATTAAAATGCCAACTTTGTGGTCTATTTTCGTATAGTATTTATTGTTGTATTCTCGTTTTCTTGGTCTCATTTGATAGAATGGAAAACATATAGAAATAGAGGTGATTTTGATTGATTTTACTATAAAAAGAACCTAGAAATGGAGCTCAAAATAGGGGAAATGTTTGATTTTTGCCAATGTTCAAAAGTAAACAAATGATGCCATTGTCCAATAAATGTCCAACTAGCCATTCTAATATGCAGTCATGAATGGGTTGATGTTATTTATACAATTATTACAGTATTGCAGTAGTCTGCATAATAGTAAGTCTTCTATTTTTTGTTCGAATAAAAATTCAAAATAGAAAGCAAGAGTAATATCAGAGGGGCCTGGAGACATGACTGATGAGCAAAGATGATGTTATTTTAGAGCCAGGAATGTCTGCATTGTTCATTCTGGACCTTATTTTGAAATTGTCATATTTTTTAGTTTTCGTGAAATTGGCCAAATTGCAAATTTCTGACCACATTATTAGGTAGTTGAAATCGGTAAATGGGCGGTTTCTTGTACTCAATCGATAGAAAAAATGGAGTTCTAAAGAAATAGCTATGAGTTTGGGCGACTGGAACAAGGGAATTAGCCGAAAATAGGGCTCAAAGTGGGCGAAATCGCCAATTTGTAAACAGCGCCGAGGTCGCTAACTTCGCGAGAGCATAATTCCGTCAGTTTTCCATCAAATTTCGTTTTTTTGGTGTCATTACAATCGGGAAAAGATTCTCTATCATTTCATAAGAAATTTTTTTTTTTTTTTTTTTTTAATTTTGCGACACCAGGAGACACCTCAGGATTGGGGGTTGCGACAGTCAAAGGGTTAAAAAAATAAAAAAAAAATTTCTTATGAAATGACAGAGAATCTTTTCCTGATGGTAATGACACCAAAAGTACAAAATTTAATGGAAAACTTACGGAATTATGTTCTTGCAAAGTTAGCGATCTTATGCATCAGCAATTTCGCCCACTTTGAGCCCTATTTTTGGTCAATTCCATTCTTACAGTCGACCAAACTCATAGCTATTTCTTTAGAACTCCGTTTGTTCTATCAACTGAGTACAAGAAACAGCCCATTTACCAATTTCAACTATCCAATAAAGTGGTAAGAAATTGGCAATTTGGTCAATTTCACGGAAATTAACCCTTTGACTGTTTCAGCTGTATATAGTCTTACAAGCCTGTTTCTAACATATATTAATATGTTTCCAACATATATTATGTTTCTGACACAATACGCGTAAATTCTAGCAGCTTCATATCAAGCGGGAGAAAGCTGGTAGGCCTATATGCGAGAAAATAAGTCTCAATGGTTAGTTTGCACACTATAAAAAAAATTCGGGGAGCCAGTGGTGGATTGTGGGAATGCCATTTCAGTAGTTCTTGTTCAGCATGCCTAGCAGTAAGAAGTATGTGACTCCCCGGTGAACCTGGGACTGTTCTCTTCCAAAGTGATGGCTCTAACACAAATGGAAGTGTCAGTGAAGATGAATTTCATGGTTTTGAAGAGTTTGTGACTGAAAGCAATGCCCAGGATACCAGAAGGGAGAAAGAAAGGAGCAAGAAAAAGGAGAAAGAAAAAGAATGAGAAAAAGAAGAAAGAAGAAGAAAGGAGAAAAAGATAATTAGCTAGGAAGGATGGTGGGGAAGCAAGCATGGGACCCCACTGTGTTGACAGGCAGTACAGGAGTAATTATATAATACATGCATGTCATTTTGACAGCTGCTAGACCCTGACTCACCACATTTAGAAATCCACATACGCGCACACACACAAACACAAACTTCCTGAAGATAATAGCAGCTCTAGGAAAATGTCCAGTGACTATACAGGTCTGGCATCAGTGGGACCTGTAGTGTTCCGGATTACTGAGTTTGCCGGATTACAGAGTGGTTAGATTAGAATACACTTAATAAAATTAACCAACTTGACTTGCACAAAGTTCATTGAACATCGGCAAAAACCGAACATTTCCGCTACTTTGAGCTCAATTTCAAGATATTTTCATCACGAAAGCAATCAAAATCATGTCTATTTCTGTTATATATCTTCCATTCTATCAAATGAGACCAAAAAAACGAGAATACAACCATAAAAACCATATGAAAATATACCACAAAGAGGCGGTTAATGGCTGAGAAGTGAACTCCCTTATTCATCATCTGTCTTTTTTATTTTTGGTGTACATTAAGAAGCATCTTTCCATCATACATTGCCCAAGTTTCAATGAGATAGCCCAACAAACAACTGAGAAAAAACAATATTTACCAAAAATCATGGCAAGCCCAAGCCAGGTACTGGAAATAAGTCACTGACTTTTTTGGGTTATCCTAGGTTCTCTATACATACACTGCTATGTATGATAATCTAATCTATGTAACTGTATTTGTGTATAGTACCTGAATAAACTAACTTACTTCAAGTCTGTCGACTGAGTACAAGAAACTGCCCATTCACCTATTTCAACTACCCAATAAAGTGGTCAGAAATTGGCAATTTGGCCAATTTCACAGATGCCAATTTCAAAATAGGGTCAGAATAGACAATGCAGACATTCCTGGCACTAATATAACATTTTCTCTGTTCATTAGTCATGGCTCCAGGCCCCTCTTATATTACTCTTGCTTACCATTTGGAATTTTTATTCACACAAAAAAATAGAAGATTTACAGTTATGCAGACTACTGCATTATTGTAATAATTGTATAATTAATGTCAACCCATTCTTGACTGCGTATTGGAATTTGGACTGGTAGGCAGACAGGTATTGGATGGTGACGTCATTTGTTTACTCCACAATCGCTAAAGAATAGACCTTTTCTGCTACTGTGAGCGCAATTTCAAGGTACTTTTCATCATGAAAGCAATCAAAATCATATCTATTTCTGAAATATATCTTCCATTCTAACAAACGAGGCCAAAAAAACAAGAATACAGGTCTCCCTCAACATTCACATTTTCAACTTTCACGGGCTTCACACATTCGCGAATTCCCAACCGCCAAATTCCCAGCCACCAAATTCCCAGCCGCCAAATCATATTTAAGTTTCCCGCCACGTGCGAGTCCCTACTACCCTCCCTCCGACCCCCGCAACTGGCAGCCAGCCCTCCCACCACTCAGTGTGGTTGAGTGTTTTTTTTATTCATTATTTGCTATTAAACTACAGTATAAATAATGTAAACCCATTCATGACTGCATATTGGAATGGCTATTCGGACAGGTATTAGACGGTGACATCATGTGTTTACTCTTGAACACTGCAAAGAATTAAACATTTCTGCTACAGCTAATAATAACGATTTTTTTTTTTTTCAGTAAGTCGGTCGTCTCCCACCGAGGCAGGGTGACCCAAAAAAGAAAGAAAATCCCCAAAAAGAAAATACTTTCATCATCATTCAACACTTTCACCACACTCACACATTATCACTGCTTTTGCAGAGGTGCTCGGAATACAACAGCTTAGAAGCATATACGTATAAAGATACACAACATATCCCTCCAAACTGCCAATATCCCAAATCCCTCCTTTAAAGTGCAGGCATTGTACTTCCCATTTCCAGGACTCAAGTCCGACTATATGAAAATAACCGGTTTCCCTGAATCCCTTCACTAAATATTACCCTGCTCACACTCAACAGATCGTCAGGTCCCAAGTATCATTCGTCTCCATTCACTCCTATCTAACACGCTCATGCACGCTTGCTGGAAGTCCAAGCCCCTCGCCCACAAAACCTCCTTTACCCCCTCTTTCCAACCCTTTCGAGGACGACCCCTACCCCTCTTTCCTTCCCTATAGATTTATATGCTTTCCATGTCATTCTACTTTGATCCATTCTCTCTAAATGACCAAACCACCTCAACAACCCCTCTTCTGCCCTCTGACTAATGCTTTTATTAACTCCACACCTTCTCCTAATTTCCACACTCCAAATTTTCTGCATAATATTTACACCACACATTGCCCTTAGACAGGACATCTCCACTGCCTCCAACCGTCTCCTCGCTGCTGCATTTACCACCCAAGCTTCACATCCATATAAGAGTGTTGGTACTACTATACTTTCATACATTCCCTTCTTTGCCTCCATAGATAACGTTTTTTGACTCCACATATACCTCAACGCACCACTCACTTTTTTCCCTCATCAATTCTATGATTAACCTCATCCTTCATAAATCCATCCGCCGACACGTCAACTCCCAAGTATCTGAAAACATTCACTTCTTCCATACTCCTCCTCCCAAATTTGATATCCATTTTTTCTTTATCTAAATCATTTGATACTCTCATCACCTTACTCTTTTCTATGTTCACTTTCAACTTTCTACCTTTACACACATTCTCAAACTCATCCACTAACCTTTGCAATTTTTCTTTAGAATCTCCCATAAGCACAGTATCATCAGCAAAAAGTAACTGTCAATTCCCATTTTGAATTTGATTCCCCATAATTTAATCCCACCCCTCTCCCGAACACCCTAGCATTTACTTCCTTTACAACCCCATCTATAAATATATTAAACAACCATGGTGACATTACACATCCCTGTCTAAGACCTACTTTTACCGGGAAGTATTCTCCCTCTCTTCTACACACCCTAACCTGAGCCTCACTATCCTCATAAAAGCTCTTTACAGCATTTAGTAACTTACCACCTATTCCATAAACTTGCAACATCTGCCACATTGCTCCTCTATCCACTATCATATGCCTTTTCTAAATCCTCCCGTAGTTTATACACTTTCACCTCCCTCTTACTTGTTGTTGCCACCTTCCTCTTTTCCCATCTACCTCTTACTCTAACTGTAGCTACAACTAAATAATGATCTGACATATCAGTTGCCCCTCTATAAACATGTACATCCTGGAGCCTACCCATCAACCTTTTATCCACCAATACATAATCTAACAAACTACTTTCATTACGTGCTACATCATACCTTGTATATTTATTTATCCTCTTTTTCATAAAATATGTATTACTTATTATCAAATTTCTTTCTACACATAGCTCAATTAAAGGCTCCCCATTTACATTTACCCCTGGCACCCCAAATTTACCTACTACTCCTCCATAACATTTTTACCCACTTTAGCATTGAAATCCCCAACCACCATTACTCTCACACTTGATTCAAAACTCCCCACGCATTCACTCAACATTTCCCAGAATCTCTCTCTCTCCTCTACACTTCTTTCTTCTCCAGGTGCATACACGCTTACTATAACCCGCTTTTCACATCCAATCTTCATTTTACTCCACATAATCCTTGAATTTATGCATTTGTAGTCCCTCTTTTCCTGCCATAGCTTATCCTTCAACATTATTGCTACTCCTTCTTTAGCTCTAACTCTATTTGAAACCCCTGACCTAATCCCATTTATTCCTCTCCATTGAAACTCTCCCACCCCCTTCAGCTTTGTTTCACTTAAAGCCAGGACATCCAGTTTCTTCATAATAACGATGATAATAATAATAATAATAATAATAATAATAATAATAATAATAATAATAATAATAAATACGATATAATTGAAGAAGGAAATTGTACAAAAATATGAGGGAGAGGTTGACACATCGTCAGTTTGACTTTGTTTATGCTGGAATGAACATTAGTCTCCCTGCTCTTCCAAACATTTCACAATAATTCATTGTGTTTGGTGCTTGTAGATTGAGTGTGATTGGAGTGGTAGAGGCAGTGATTGAGGCAATGGTATTTAATAACATACATGTTAATAATAATACATGTTATTAACAATATGTACTATTATTATTTATAACATATATGTTATTAAATACCACTGCCTCAACCGCTGAATTATTGTGAAATGTTTGGAAGAGCAGGGAGACTAATGTTCACTCCAGCATAAACAAAGTCACACTGACGATGTGTCAACCACTCCCTCGTACATGTATTTTTGTACAATTTCCTTCTTCAATTATATCGTATTTATTATTATTAATTATTATTATTATTATTATTATTATTATTATTACTATTGTTATTATTAGCAATAGCAGAAATGTTCGATTCTTTGCTGTGTTCAAGAGTAAACACATGATGTCACCGTCTAATACCTTTCCTAATAGCCATTCCAAAAATGCAGTCATGAATGGGTTTAAATTATTTATTCTGTAGCTTAATAGCAAATAATGAACAAACAAAACACTCACCACACTGAGTGGTGGGAGGGCTGGCTGCCAGTTGCGGGGGTCGGAGGGAGGGTAGTAAGGACTCGCATTGGTGGAGGCAGTGGTGGAGTCTGTGGTATCTAATAACATACATGTTATTAACATACATGTTATTAAATAACATACATTATTAAAGCATAACATGTATATAGTATTTAGTACAATTTACGACTTTTCATGTATTTTATGATTATTAATGGTTCAACAAGTTAAGGAAGCAGTATATTAATATATTTCCCTACAATATACTGGGGCACCAAACATTCACAGTTTTTCAACATTCGCGAGGCTCTTGATCCCCTAACCTTCGCGAATGTTGAGGAGACCTGTATAACCATAAAAACCATACAAAAATATACCGCTAAGCGGCCGCTAATGGCTGAGAAGTGAACTCCGCTATTTATGGTCTGATTTCTTTCATTTTTGGTGTACATTTAAGAAGCATCTTTCCATCATACATTGCCCAAGTTTCAATAAGATAACCAAACAAACAAATGAGAAAATAGCAATAATAATAATAATTTACTACATGTACATGTACAAGGGATACAAACATAGCTGACATCAGTGACATACTACTACAGTGGTCCCTCGTTTTTCGTAATTATTCCGTTCCTGGAGGCGCTACTATAAACGAAATTTATGATTTGCGAATCAATTTTCCCCATAAGAAATAATGTAAATACAATTAATCTGTTCCTGACACTCAGAAGTAAATTTAAAAAAAAAATTTTCTTACATGAAATATACATGTAGTACATAAACAATACAATGGAAAATGATGAATGAAACATTAACAGCATAACACTTACCTTTATTGGAGATTCTTCTTAGTGTATGGGAGACTGGAGGAGGAGAGAGATTGGATTATTTACAGTTTGGAAGGGGAAATCCCCTTCCAGCAACACCTCAGGTACCAATTGCTTCTCTGGTGTTGCTTCTCTTCTCTGTTTCTTACTGCCACTAGGACCACCTTGAGAGTCACTCTAGTCCTGTCTCACAAAGTAACTGTGGAGAGAGCTCTGTTTCTGGCGTCTCTAACACTTCCCTAAAATGGCCCAAGACTTTGTCACTGTACATATTTCTCACCTTTACCACAGGCTTGGCACTAGGAGCTTTCTTTGGAGCCATGGTAGCTTATTTAATACTTGCAAGCACTAAAATGAGTGGAAAACTGTATTATGAAATATTTCGTAGGAGCACTTGAGGGGACCTTCACTCACTGGTAAACAATGCCAGACTGGCTGGGTAGGGAGGCCTCCCCGGCTCACACCGTGCGTACGCGTCCCGGACGAACTACCATTCGCGAGTCAACCTATGAAAAGCGAGTCCATGTTTATACGAAAATACCCCATGATTGGCGAAATTTACGATTGCCGAGAACTACGAAAAGCGAGGGACCACTGTATATAGAAAGCCACCTGCTATGCAGAATATTTCAAGCAAATTAGGTCAGTGGCCCAGGATAACACCCACACCAGTCGACTAATACCCAGGTACCCATTTACTGATGGGTAAACAGACAACAGGTGTAAAGAAACACTCCCAATGTTTCTACCCTGGCTGGGAATCGAATACTATTTACCAAAAAACTTACAGTGGATCCTCGCATACCGTTGGCATCACATAACGTTAAATCCGCATACCGATACATTTTATCACTAAAATTTTGCCTCGCATACCGCTAAAAAACTCGCTCAACGCTATTCGTCCGAGACACTTCTAATGTGCGGCCTGAGTCAGCTTCACATGTTCCGCCGGTGGCATTGTTTACAAGCCAGCCTCCGCGGTAACATCAAAGCATACAATCGGAACATTTCGTATTACAGCGTTTTTGGTGATTTCATCTGCAAAGTAAGTGACCATGGGCCCCAAGAAAGCCTCTAGTGCTAACCCAGTGGTAAAAAGGGTGAGAAATACTATTATACCACAGTCAGCTGCTGCTGCACCACGATCAGCTGTTGCTTGACCAGTCAGCTGTTGCTGGATCAGTCAGCTGCTGTTGCACCTCGATCAGCTGTTGCTGGACCAGTCAGCTGTTGCTGGATCAGTCAGCTGTTGCTGGATCAGTCAGCTGTTGCTGGACCAGTCAGCTGTTGCTGGATCAGTCAGCTGTTGCTGGACCAGTCAGCTGTTGCTGGATCAGTCAGCTGTTGCTGGATCAGTCAGCTGCTGCTGCACCACGATCAGCTGTTGCTGGACCAGTCAGCTGTTGCTAGATCAGTCAGCTGCTGCTGCACCACGATCAGCTGTTGCTGGACCAGTCAGCTGTTGCTGGATCAGACAGCTGCTGTTGCACCATCAGCTGTTTCTGAACATGACTCGTACCGAACCTGTCCGTCCAGCCTGAGCGCCTGCCTTGCCATCATTGTTTACAAGCCAGGGTGGCCGGTTGCATGCATACATTCGATACATTTTGTATTATTCCATTATTTATAGTGATTGTAACTGCTAAATAAGCCACCATGGGCCCAAAGAAAGCTTCTAGTGCCAACCCTGTGGTAAAAAGGGTGATAAATACTATCGTACCACAGTCAGCTGCTGCTGCACCACAGCTGCAGCTGCACCATGGTCAGCTGTTGCTGCACCACAGCTGCTGCTGCACCATGGTCAGCTGCACCACAGCTGCTGCTGCACCATGGTCAGCTGCACCACAGCTGTTGTTGCTGCACCACCATCAGCTGTATTACTCGAAAATGTGGAGAGTGTGTTGGTGTGGCTTAACGTGAAACAATTACCGAGAAACGATCAACCCCGGAGGGTTAGTCACCCAGGATAACCCAAGAAAGTCAGTGCATCATCGAGGACTCTCTAACTTATTTCCATTGGAGTCCTTAATCTTGTCCCCCTGGATGCGACCCATATTATTATTATTATAATCAAAAAGAAGCGCTAAGCCACAAGGACTATACAGCGCTGCAGGGCAGGAAGGAAGCGAGGGCATCAGGTGGCAAAAGGGAGATGGATGAGCAACAGGTTACGGATAACAGCGGGGCAGTGGATGGTGAAAGGGTAAAGGGCAGCAAGAGACTGAACCAAAAAGGGCTGAGGGGAGTGCGAAAAGTATCATCAGAGTTTGTGGAGTAAATCAGTCGTTGTCAAGAAGTCAATGAGAGAGTCAGGATTAAAGGAGGGTCCATCAGCAAGAAGGGAAGGTAAAGAGAGAGTAGGAGAACGAAGACGACGTTGGAGGTAAATTCTGCGTGCTCGTTGATAGAGAGGGCAGTCTAACAGAATGTGGCTAATCGATACTGGAACTTGACACTGCTCACAGAGAGGAACAGGGTGCCTCTCCATGAGATACCCATGAGTAAGACGAGTGTGGCCAATGCGAAGGCGGGAGAGAGTGGTCTCCCAACTTCGGCACTGATGACAAGAAGATGGCCAGTAACCTATGCTCGGTTTAATAGAATGAAGTTTGTTACCGAGCAGAGTTGACCAACGTTGTTGCCAACGGGTGCGAAGGTGGGTAGCTATTGCAGCAAAATAGTCCAGAAATGGAACACCTCGATAGGAAATTGGTAGGTCTATACTGCTGACCGCGCAGCAGTGTCTGCCTGTTCATTGCCCTGTACGTCGACATGACGGGACCACAAAAAACAATATCTTTATGTTTGGGGAGAGAACGGCGTAGCCAAAGTTGGAACGG